TAGGTTTAGCTACTAATTTAAGAAGAGTTAAGGCTTGTGTAAAGTTCAATTCTTGACAAATCATCTTGCGAAAGATAGCCATCGCTTATGTAATGTGATAAGATAATTATAAGGTTTTATTTGATGATTTATAAAACGTGGGATAGCGTTTGGAAGTAGAGAAAAAATATTTTATTTTATTTTTAAAAAAGACCTAACAAATTTATTACTATACTACTACTTATTAGTAGAAAGAAAATATTAATTTTTAACAATACTTTCCTCTTAATTTCCGGGATCCATTATTACGAGCGACAAAGTAGTGCTTTACACCCTAATGGTTTGTTAATGACTGAGCACCATTTGGCCATAGATTTTGTGTACATTTTTCAACAAAAATAAAATTGAAAACACTATGTTCAAACACAATTTCAATTTCCAAAATTTGCAAGGAAATTGATATACACATGCACATACAAGGGAGATCAAAGATCAAATGGCAACAAGCAATGCAAAGTTAAACAATTATCCTTAGGAGTCTAGTTAATTCTTGTAATAGTAATAGTGATAGGAGATTCATGGTAAGTAGGGGTGTACAAAAAAAACCGACAAACCGCACCAACCCAATAATTCGAGTCAAACCGAAAAAAAAAACCTGACTATGGTTTGGTGTTGGAAAAAAAAACCCGACCATAATTGGTTTGGTTTGGTTTTAACTAAAGAAAGTCAAACCGAAACCAAACCAACCCGACATTACATATGTAGAAATTTTAGATATATTTAATATATAAATATATTTATTGTGATGTAATTTATAAATATTTCTTAAAATTTTTCATAATTTTATCTTTTAAGGTATTATTTCAAGGTTGAACTTAGAACTTTTGAGTGTTCCAATAAGTTTTATAGCCATTAATATTAGTAAATTAAATAATGCTAAGAAAAGCCCAAACCAAAATCAAGTCAATACTAATGCTAACAAAAGACATTCAATTCAATACTACGAACGAAAATGTATTGAATATCTATTTTTTTGTTTTGTAATAATTTAGATAAAAATACATAACCTATTTTTATTTTTTCTTTAGCGTTTAGTCATGTAATTAATACTCCCTTATTAGTCTACTTATTTTAACATGACTTAGTACTTTTAGATTATGTTTATTTTTATTATGGCTTTTTAATTAGCAATATTTATATTACATAATTTTATTGTCTTTATTATTGAATATTTTAGGATAATGTCATGACACATCTCATATTTTGTATTATTTTTTTGGAAAATACTTTATATAGTTGTATCTTACTAGGATTAAAAAAATATTTTGAGCACAAGTTATATGTTTTGTTCTACGAAGATTTTACCGGAAAAAAATCAAAAAAATCCGAATAACCCGAAAATCCGAGAAAACCCGAGTTTTATTGGTTTGGTTTGGTCTTTAGATTTAATAACCCGATAAAATTGGTTTGGCTTGGTAATTGTAAAATCCGAACTAACCCGACCTATGTACACCCCTAATGGTCAGTATTAATCTGGTTTTGTAAAGACAGTTTTTTTGATGAAATGAAATGTTAGTTTTATCAACAAAAAAAAAAGTTACACCAAATCTATGTCTAAACGCTAGCTTAGGCTAAGTTGCTTGGCTGAAAAAGAGAGAAAGAGTAAGAGGGGTGGGCATCCTTGTGCATTTTTGAAAGTTGCTGGTGTTTTTTGAATTATAAAAACTTCAGGCGGGCTTAAAGAAAATAGTATAACAACTTGAAGGGTAAATTAACGTTTAATCCTTTACTAATGAAATTTGAGAGTATATATTATAATATCAATATGGCAGATCTGGACCAATTCAATTTCTTATATTCACTTGAACAATGATTTAATATGCAATAATTACCTCTTTCGCAAGAATTAGGAAGTCATACATCATCGATCTCCTCAAAGAAGCTTCTATAGAACTATCAATTTCCCAATTTTTTAATTAATAATTATATTCAAGTCCCCCATTTTTGATTTGACTATTCCCAATTCCCGCTTAGATCAGGTCTTCCAAACAGACTCTAATAAATAAGCTTATTCTACCTCTCTTTTTCTGTAGACACAAAAAATACAATCCAACAACCAAAAGTCAATATTCACTCCAAAAAAAACATTCATATTCTCCATACCCAAAAATTCCCATTTGTTTTTTGATTTCTAAAATGGTTAATCCATTTATTTGTGGATCTTTTCATCATCAAGATGAAGATGATATGGAAAATTTAAGCCCTTGTTCAACACCAAAAAGATCAAAAAAGAATTTGTCAAGAACAAGGTCTAGTAACAAGAATAACCCTTATTCAGACCGAGGTCTTGACAAATTTTCTGCACTTTTAGCTGATCTTGAAGACAAGAAACAGAGGATTTATTCACAAATTGGCCCTGATGATATCTCTTTCGTTCGTTTCGTCTTTTCGAATTCCAATGATGTCAAGCCCATTGTTGTTAAGTTGAAGGACAAGAAGCAGACAACAAATGATCACGACAGCAAGCAAACCACTGAAAAAATTCAATCTCAGGCGACTGACGAAACAAATGAAGGGAAAGAATTGCAAGTTGATTCCAAGAGAAGGCTAAAAAGGAGCATTTCTTGGAAATTTAAGTTGGAAAATTTGAAGAAACCTTTGTTTTATTTGCCAATGACTATAATATTGATATTGGTTTTTTTGGCTATATATGGAAGGTCATTTGCAATAATGTGTACTTCAATTGGATGGTACATAATTCCTACAATTAGAGGAGGAAACTCAAGTTCAAGCACAAAGACAAAAAGGCCAAAAAAGAAGAAGGAATATGTAAGAAGATTTAGTGAGAAAACTGTTGTAAGTGAAAGGTCAACCTCTCCAACAAGTGTTATGAATGGACCAAGTGACAAATTACCACCAACTGGTAAACATTGCCGTAGGACAAGCTGGTCATATTAAGTTTTCTTGATTTTGTAAATTCTCTCTTCTTTATTGTTCTGAATATGATCAGACTTTTTCTTTTCTTTTCTCTTTTTGAGCTTATGCATTGTAAATTCTTCTGTTGATTTTGTACATGTTTGAGTTAGACTAGAAATTAGTCACTCTTTGGCATGTTCCTTTAGATTAGGACTATGTTTTCGTTACCAAGTTATGCTGGTTCATCCGACTTGATATTATATGTACTGTTTTTTAGTTTCTCACTTAGGCCGATTCTTGATCTCTCTCATTGACAAATTACAAGTTAGATGTCTTAGCAACTGCTTCCTCTCGAAGAAAAAGGCTTTCCATTCTTCATAATAACATTAATATTCGAGCCAGCTTGCGTGCACTTCAATTATTTCTGAATTTTGTCTCTGTTGTAATTTTAATCCTTGTCTGTCATTGTTTCTACTCACTTTATTGATCACTAGGCGATATCCTTAGGTGAAATAAAGAATGTTTTTGATGAGAATAGAATATTTATTTCATTTTTAGTCGGAATTTTTTGCACAAATATAATTTAGCTAAAATTTGATTCAATTGTAGTTTCTTGCTCGATTTTCATGATCTCAAGATATGATAAACTTGTAACTAGAACAGCCTTTACGCGGAAAGGATTAATAGCTCTTGTTGCGCAACATTTAACTCATATAGAAGTTGACATAATACTTATATATTTATGTAATCATGATAAATATAAAGCACCTACTTTTATTTCATATAAACACAAGTCTTATCAAAGTGATCTGCATCTGGTCTTAATAACGAAAATATTACAAATTCTTTAAACAGTGTCCTTGCCATTGAGTGTGGTTTTGAGGAAAATATCCAATTGAGATCGGGCAGTATGGGCAAAATCACATCATTGTTAGTTGTAGTAACACTGCTCCCTTCCCTTCGGTCTACTTTAATTGATTTTTTTGATTGTTTTTATCACGCGTAATAGAAAATTCACCTTTTACCATTAATTGACCATATTAACTTTAATTTGTTTATTGGAAATATAACAAATACTTCTAAGCTCTTTACTCCAAGGGTAACTTTGAAAAAAAAAAAGTTAATTCATTCTTGATATCTGAAAAAATCACATATTATGAACCACAAAAAAAAGGCCAAAAAATCAATTAAAGTGAACCGGAGAAAGTACTCATTAATAAATTTCATAAAAAACGATGTCATTTACCTGCTTCCTCCTTGACTTTGTTTTTACTCAGAGATTCAAAGATAGTTATCCAGATAACGTTGTTCTTATTTGTTGATGATTTTTCTCCCTATAGGGTATATATATTCAAAAGTAAGCAGCAGTTGGGTCAATACGTTTTCCTAGTTATATATATATATATGGTACTTTATTCTACGATATATACGATTTATCTATATAAATATCATCATTTACATCCAGAAAATTGTATGCTTGGGAAGAAGCTCGGTCGCATGGACCTCATATAGGGTTTCTGCCCACATCATAGTTTTCTTTGAAAACCTTACAGAAATTTTTCGAGAAAGTTTCATATATATTTATTTGTAACTTTCATGATATACTTAAGTTTTAAAATTATATCAAATATCCCCAAACTATTAATTCTATACCTCTAAATCTTTTGACATATTCTGAAATATACACAATATCTTAATTTGAAAAAAGTCCAAATCAAAAATACCATAATATTCAAACTCAAACATATTACAATATTTTAATTTCAAATACAATATGCAAACTAATCATACCACAATGTTATAATTTGTAATACATTATCCAAACTAAATATACCATATTATTCTAATAAAGAATTCAATATTCAAATTAAATATACCATAATATTTTAATTTGAAATACAATATTCAAATTAAATATACCATAATATTTTAATTTGAAATACAATATTCAAATCACACATTGTATAATTTTTTAATTTGGAATATAGTATTTAAACCAAATATATTACAATATTCTAAATTTATTATGGTATACCTACTTTATAAATTTATTTTAGACAATATTCTATTTTGGAATACACTGGATGTGCAAGATCAGATAAATTTATAAAGTAAGTATACATGGTAAAATAAATATATATAAAGTAGGTATACAAGGTAAAATAAATATGGTAGTAACTGGTATTTTCAATGGGCATATCCCATTCGGTATGGGGCATTTGCATCTATACCCGTTTTTTGGATCACGTTTTAACTTGTGCCCGCTTTGCAAAAAAAATTGCAAATGTACCCACTTTTTCGCGTAACTTCAGCATACGGGGCTGAAGTAGCAAAGGGAATCATGCAAAACTTCAGCATTCTAGTAGACGGGACTGAAGTAGCAAGTGTGTTGAAGTTTTTATTTGTAATTGCTGAACTTAAGCATAGTAGCTGAAGTTTTGTTCTCTATTTGCTGCAGTTTTTGTTTGTAATTGCTGAAGTTTTTGTTTTTGTAACTGGCGAAAGCTGAAGTTTTTGTTTTGTAACTAGCGAACTTCAGCTAAATTTTTATTTTTGTAACTGGCGAACTTCAGCTTTAGAGCTGAAGTTTTTATTTTGTAACTGGCAAACTTCAGCTCTAGAGCTGAAGTTTTTGTTTTGTAACTGGCGAAGTTTTTGTTTGTAATTGGCAAACTTCAGCTCTAGAGTCTTCTTCCCTTCATAATGATACTGTCACGAAAACGTGAAAATAGTTGCTTTACTTTCACATAAAGCATTCAATAGCAAGGATCCCTCATCTTATAACTCTTTAATCGGACCAATTATTTAGATGATTAGTTCAACAACTAAACCATCCAAAGGAACTGTTAATCGATATTTGATAAAGCAAGAAACTTTTTAGCAATTTACATAAACCAATATGTTGCTGCTAATGCCATGCATTATCAAATAGGATCTGTAGTTTCGTCATTTAACGGATCATCTATTGCCACAATTCAATCAAGCAACAAGACTTCGATATTCTTCGGAGAGGCATTTATGATGCGAAATTACACTGTATATTCCTATTTTTTTTCTTATTTATTTCTTTTGCACTGACAGAAATACAATTTGTATGCGACTTCAGAAAGAGGTTGAGGGCGGATATAACTTTGAGGAAGAGAAGGAAGAGGAGAAAGAGGGCTGAAGTTGTTTAAAAAGTGAGTACAAGTTAAAACTTTTTAAGAAAATGGGTATAGGTTAAATGGGGGCGACCAAATAGGACGCCCCGTGCAATTTTTACATTCGGTATGCATCCGCTCGCCCAAATATTTTGGGTTCAGCCTTGTAGAGCTCAGTAAAGGGGAAAACCTCCTATAAGGAATTTCGCCATTCTCCAAAATTGAACCTAAACCTCCGATTAAGGGTGAGAGATCTCATCCATCCCTTCTTCGTGATTCGTTAGTCAAGCCTAAAAAGAAGAACAGTCCAGACTTCATAGAGCTAGATAGAAGTGCGAAAAGAACATTCTGTACCATCTTCGTTACAAGTATTATTATTGCACCATGAGTATGAGAATTATATCACTTTCTAGCGGAGAGTAACTACATGAAAAATTAACAAAACCAATGGATAAACGCAAATGTATTGTTTTAGGCAATGTAATATTTTAACAAGATAACAGAGCGTGCATCTGATTTAGGCAATGTATATACTATCCGATGTATATAGTATTTTAATTTCTTTGATCGTCACACACTCTGATTATTGGTATTTGGTATATACGGAATATCTTAGCTTTTGATGTAAGCGGCCACCAGACTTGATTTTCATTTTCACTAATAAATCCGCAATTACTGTTTATAATCCTTTCTGGATATATATCATTTTGGTGCTTAATTGCCGTCCACATCTTAAGGTTTTCATTAGCTTGGCAGCCTAAATTTCGGTTCAAAGTTTACATCACGTTTCTTTTCTTTATATAGTGCCAATATTGAGAGCGGCTGTACAGTTTCATTTTTCTAAAAGTAGGGATTTTTCACCTTTAGCCCTTTAAATTTTATGTAGATGCTTTTCTTTATATAGTGCCAAAGATATTTGTACAGTTGCATTTCTTCCTCGCACGTCTTTGTAGTGCACTTACTATTAGTGTTTCAATCAAAGTCGATTGGTTGATGAGTTAGAAAGAGAACAAAGGAGATATATTAATGAAGTGAAAAGGACTAATGATTATGAAGTATACTTCGTTTCCATTCTGAGAATATTGGCATATTTTGCTTCGTGGAGGAACTAAGCATGCGAAATGCTGAATGGAAAAAAGATTGGGTGTATATTTGAGGAACATATCAAACTAAAATTGGGCAGTATTGACAAAAATCACATCATTATTAGCTCACTGTAGTAACCACTAGTAATTAATAAATTTCATAAAAACGATGTCATTTACCTGCTTCCTCCTTGACTTTGTTTTTATTCAGAGATTCAAAGATAATTATCCACATAAATTCGTTCTTATTTCTTTGTGATTTTTCTCCTTATAGGGTATATAATTCAGTAAAATAAGCAGCAGTTGGGTCTCCTAATTTCCAATAGACTAATCCTGGTGCGTTGCACATTTACAACACCTTTCCATCCCTTTCATTTGCATAAGCGCAATAATCCATCGCCTGGACCTCATATAGGATTTCTGTCCACATCATAGTTTTCTTTGAAAACCTTATAGAATTTTTTCTCCTTAACCTTTAGGTATGAATGCATCCGCTGGCCCTAACTATTTCGGGTTCGTGCCGCGTAGAGCCCAGAAACGGGGAAACCTCCTATCAGAAATCTCTTCATTCTCTAGAATTGAACCCAAACCTCCGGTTAAAGGTAGACAGATCTCATCTGATTTGTTATTCAAGCCTATAGAGAAGAAAGTCCAGGCTTCATAGAGATATAAGTGCGAAAAAGAACATGAGTATGAAAATTACATCCCAATATCACTTTCTAGTGAACAGTAACTACATGAAAAAAATAATAGAACGAATGGATATTGTAATATTAAATCGAAGACCTTTGACAAGATAACAGAGCGTAAAATCTTTCTGATTGGCCAAGTCTCTCATATGATTATCAGACCTTGACCCGTGAAGTGTGACCCATGTAAATAGTATTTTAATTTCTGCGATCGTCACAAACTTTCTGAATTTCAACAACAGATGATTGCTATTTGGTATATACGGAATATCTCAGCTTTTGATGTAAGCGGCCACCAGACTTGATTTTCAATTTCACTAATTAATCGCATTACTGTTGATAATCCTATTTGGGTCCCCTTTTTGGTGTTTAATTGTTGTCCACATTTTGCTGTCTTATTAGCTTGGCGGCCTAAACTTCGGTTCGAGGTTCACATCACGTTTCTTTTCATTATATAAAGGAGGTGTATTAATGAAGTGAAAACAAAGGAGATATGTTAATGAAGTGAAACGGACTAAATGATTATGAAATTTACTTCGTTTCCATTCTGAGAATAATGACATATTTTGCTTCGTGGAGGAACTAAGCATGCTTTAGAATGTGGAAAGATCAGTTTGCTAAACCAAAGCACACAATGATCCTGCAAAAAAACAAATTAAATAATGTAGATGGGCTTTCTCACATGTTAATTTTTTTTAAAGCATAGCCGGTTTAAACAATAGGTAACTGGGTAGCTAATTAGGGGTTGGTTTGAGTAGCGTGACTGCATAAACAAAATGGATCACAACAATTATATTAAAGGAGCTAGGAATTTCCAATCAGAAGTGTTGGTTAGATGTGTTAGGTTGGGGAAGGGCTACACCAGAAATTTTGAACATTCGCAATTGCAGGCAACATCAAAGAAAGGCAGGCTGTGGGTAGCCTTAAGCCTCAACTTTATTCTTTAGATTAAAACCCCCCTAACCTCCCAACCCCAAAAAAAGAAAAATGGCCAAATGAGTTTGGCAGTTTATGATGATAAAGTGTACGTATTTATTAGCCGGATACAATTAGTTCTGAGATATAGTATGATTGTGATAAACATTGCATTTCACTAGCAGCTTTGTAACGTGTTAATACCAGACGTATACCGAAAGCAAGTGAGAATCGCCCAATCAACTTAGCCAATTGTGATAAACTATCTAACTAGTCAATCAGCTAGACTTGTAAACACTTGGTAAATATTGTTGTCAACAACATTCGAAACTGAAAACGATATGCAAAAGCGTTGCCATTACTCCACAACTTTGGAAACAACATAAAGAATGTTGTGTTCTTATCTTAGCCTTTAGGGAACAGTAAGTACGATACCGAATTAGACCAGAACAAGAAGCAAATAAAGATGCTCTGTAAAGGGCCAGCATTAAATTGACCTTCTCATTTAACATAATGCAGAAAGATAATAAGAGCAGCAACAGCAGGCAGAAGTTGAATAAAATGCACAATGACAGAAACGTTAAGTTTGCCGAAGGAATCGGGTCAAGACTTGACTTCAAGCTGCGTAACAAAATCCATTGATAAGAACATTGGAACTCGAGCTTCCAAGTCAAGTCGCTTAACTGAAGAGCAGCCATTTTCAGGACCCTTTCAGTGACACTAAGTTTGTGAAGCACAACGCCTAGTACTCTCGAAATATACAGAATTGGAGCAAGTTTACAAAATAATTTTTTAGAACTAACTTCTATCAAGTTTTACTCTACAACTTTTAAATTAGCAATCCAATCAGAAAAAAGAAATTCAAAATCTACCACATTGATTTACTAAACAGATTGCTAATTTTAGTAAAACTTGATAGATGTTAATTTTAAAAAGTTCTTTTGTGAACTTACTATAATTCTATATATTTCTTTTAGAGTCAATTCCCTAAATGGTCATCTATGTTATGGAAATTACTCAAGAAAGTCACTTTTATTTTTATTAGGACAATACGATCATTCATATTTGCCTATAATCTCAAAAGGTCACTACTCACACTCTCCCACTAGAATTATTTGTCATGTCATTTAAAATACCTATTTATACAAGAATAACCCATTTTTGGATTTTTTAGGATAATAAAATCACTCATGTGCATCCTTTTATTAGTGGTGATCTCTACTACTCTAGTCTTGTAGTAATTTTATTCTTTAATTGTGACAATTTTTAAGGATCGTCATAAATAATTTTCAATCACAGTACTTGTTTCATAGATTTTAAGGTTCATCACAAAAGTCTTCTGTGATATCTTTTCGTTGGTTCTGGTGATTGACAGTCCTATTTCTTGTTAGTGCTTTGAGGCAATTTTTTTAACGATATTTGGTATTCATTCTAAAATATAAAAAAAAATTAGAATCTTATCAACATATTGTCATTCTAACCCAACCAAACTAGTTTTTATTCTTTTTAACTTGATATTTTATTTCGTCAGGCTAAATATTTGAAAGTTGGAGCAGCTCTTTGTCTATTAGAGGTCAAGCTTCAAATTATGTATCACAGGAATTCGATTAATGGTTTGCCCCAACTATCAAAACCTCCCGCGCCTTACTGCCCATTATCATAATAAACTTTTGAAAAGTGATCCTTGAAAAGCAGTCATTTAACATATATTTTGGATCTTTGATCAAATTGTTTAGGTTAGAGAATAGGTTATTCTTGTATAAATAGGTATTGTAAATGACATGGCAAATGATTCTAGTGAGTGAGTATTGACCTTTTGATATATATAGGCAAACATGAGTGATTTTATTGTCCTACAAAATATAAAAGTGACTTTCTTGAGTAATTTCCATAACATGGATGACCATCTAGGGAATTGACTCATTTCTTTTTACTACAGAACTCTAGAAAAAAAGATCTTAACCCGACCAAATTCCTTCTAACATGTATCCTTGGTGGAAAGGTCAGCTAAACAAGTGGTGTGAACTGGAGTTTCCAAAACATAGTGTACTAATAAAAATTAACAGTCTCTCACCAGCACCTATAAAGAAGACATATGGCTGGCTATACACTTGGCGACTTCTTGTTGAGCAGACAATAAGAAAATTAGCTGAACCTATCCTCTAATAATGTTGTTCAATAAGCATAGTCGGCCATCGGACTAAAGTGTTGCAATTGAGCAGTGAAGATAAGGTTAAAATGCCTCCTATGCCCATGGAGCCTATAATAAACGATTAATATGTTACTCAATTAGCTTCTACTCAACCTCACTTATAGCCTGTTTGGCCAAACTTCTCCAAACCCTTCAAAAAAAGTGCTTTTATTTCAAAGTTGAAGTGTTTGGCCAAATTTTTAGAAAGGAAAAAAAAATGCTTTTGAGAAGCAGAAGCAGTTTTGGAGAAACAGAAAAAAGTAGTTTCTCCCCAAAAGCATTTTTGAGAAAAATACACTTAGAAGCACTTTTCAAAAGTTTGGCCAAACACTAATTTGCTGCTCAGAAATGCTATTCAAATAATTAACCAAACACAAACTGCTCCTCACCAAAAGTATTTATGAACAAACCACTTTTGAGAAAAAAACACTCCTTAAAATACGCTGATTTTAGAAGGTTGGCCAAACGGGCTATTAGAAAGTATTATGATATATGCAACTCCAAGAGTGAACATACTCTTAGTTCTTTTCACAGAATCACAATGGTAAGACTACTGCCAAATGGAGTTGGATCTTGAGCTTTCTAGAGTTGGCAAGACTACAGACTCAAAGTTTGTTATTCCTTTCTAGATCTTTCTGCTCTAGCATGTAGCGTCCCTGTCTCTTAGATTGACACAATGGAATTAGTCTCTATTTTTAGTGTGTGATTTTTTCTTTACCAGCTTCCATACATTAGCAACTCCTACCTTCTATTTTAATTTTCAACAGCGTCCGATAAATTATTTTAGTGTATCCACTTTCATTGAGCAAAAATTTTCCCTTATTATATAAGTTCATTCATTTCTCCTGCTCTTTTCTTTTTTCCCTTTTTAAGGTGGCAGTATAGCAGAAGTCTATAGAATTATAACGGTTGACATGTTCATAGCAAAGCAACAGGGACGGGCATGTGGGTTGCCAATTGCTTGAGAGCTTTTTCGAAGAATAAATTAAGTTGACCAGTGTTTTAATAAAGGAGAAGGTACAGCTTGGACTCTGTAGAAGGAACGTTTACCTGTTAAAATGGAGCCACATAATAGAATCAGATAATTTATCATGTCTTGACCCTTTAAAAACTACATATCATCTTCAGGTCTCTGCTTAAATCAGGGGAATTCTCCAAAGGTGAACGTAAAGGTCCTGCCCCTATTCCTGCAATTCAACAAGAGGTTTATTCAATCTAATCTCCTACCTAAATTGATGTGCCACTTTAATAACTTTTTCAATTCTGCCAAATTTGAAAAAGAGTAAGAGGTAGAGAAGAAACATATAACAGTTGTTAACTTGTTATAGTAACAAATAGGAATTGAAGGATATGTATCTAAAAGTGTGTCCTTTAGACCTTGAATCTCTTTCGCCGTCCTTCCTCAGAACTAAATTGAGAGACTCGCGAGTGATGTCTATGAACTTCATCTCTTTCTTCCACTCCTCTTGCTGGCATTCTCTTTCTTTCTTCTATTTGATGTCTAGCATCTTGGAAGAATCCAACCTTATCCCAAGTCACGTCATAATCAGCTCTGAGTCGTGATCCTTGCTGCACAATTATCAATCACGTGATTAACCAAAAAACAATAGCATCAAATGAAAATCAATTTCTTTGAAGAATCAGCAGAATGTGTCATTACAATTGGAGCACATAAGATCCACTTTGGCGGTTGAGCAACAACACCATCAAGGATTGTTAACTACGAGATGAATGCATATGCACAAGCAAAAGCTCCTCTGTCCCATTTTTTATATAAAAATGTTTGATTGAGCATGGAGTTTAAGAAAGAAAGCAAGACTCTTCAAAGTTGTGATCTAAAACATGCCATAGACACTTTGTGGCTATAAAATCATGTCATTAAGGGTAAAATGAGATGTTTAGAGTAAGATTGTTCCTAAGTACAGAAAGGTGCCATTCTTTTTGGGAAAGACTAAAAAGTAAATTGTATCACATAAAATCAGACAGAGGGAGTATGTAAGCACGGCAAAAATTTGTAACACTTAATAAGCGTTATGCTTTTTGATGAAAACTAACTAAAGCAGTAGTGGAGTAATGCCTAATTGCTTATACATATATCCGAGCACCTGTTAGATATTCCATTCATAAGTGTCTTTGTGTGCTAAAGAAGATAAAAGACTAAATCTATAAAGTACGTTTCTCCAATATGTTTCAACAGAGCATCAATTACGATGTAGACACACCTCAAATTTTTCTTCTTTTCAGATATGTAAAAGCAATTCATTTCTTCCAATTTTGGCAGAGCAATTACTTCCCATCAGAGTGCCAAAGGGTGCTAACTATAGGAAAAAGTAAAAACAACAGACTGATGTTCCAACATATATACCTTTTGCAATGAGCGACTACACAAAACCTTCAAGGCGTCACACAAGTCATTGTGCTTCTCAAACCGCACCACAATCTTACAATGAAGACCAGAAACAATGTCTCCTTCATCTGCATTGTCACCTATACTATTATCCTCAGCAACATGAAGATTCCTATCCAAGAAAAAGATGAGATAAGCAAAATAAAGGAAGATAGCATTACTAAGAAAATATTTGTACAAATACGCGATAAGCTTAAGAGCTAAAATCTGGAAAGCAACGATGAAAGACCAGCCAGTTTCTTTCTCTTCCCATTTTTCGTGGATAAGTGCAACTGAAAATAAATAAGGGCATAATATACATTATACCCTCTCAAGAGAAAGGAAAAAAGGGAGTAGAGAGCACATAATAAGGTAGTCTCCACTCTCCACCTCTCTACAACACATAGTTGGATGCAGTTGAGATTTGAGACTGATTGTTGACAAATTTTGATCGCTAACACTATCAATGAACCAAAACAAATTCCAAAACTTTTGGTAGGCATCTATATTGCTGGTTAGAACTCTTCTAAGAAATGGTAAAAAAAGCACTTGACACGTTAAGTGCGCAAATATACAGGAAGCAGCTGCAAGTACTAATGACCAAATAGACATCAATCAACTTCATAACCAACAATGGTTTTAAAAGTGAAAAGCGCAAAAGAGCGACAAGGTACATGAAGCTTAAAGCGAAAAGAGAAGTGAAGCACACGCTTCTCTAAAATGCACGGCCTTCATCCATGAAGTGATAAACCCTTGCTTCATATTGCTCATTGTAAGTGACAAGTGATGACTTCCAATAAGAGTGATAACCAACATTTCAAAATGTCAAACAAGTAGTCAAATAGATAACAATTTTTCTTTGGTAAACTGTCAAATAAATAATAAGAAACAAGGAACAGCACGCACCTTATCTTTCCAAGTGCAGAAAATATTGTGTGAGTAACCAGCATTGAGGGCTTGGATGAGACCCTCGTCTCTGCGAACCATCGTGATGGCATACCTTTCAACACGATTGTATCTGGCTGCATCCTTCCACTCCTCTGATATCCTGTAAAGAAGAAAATCGGAGACACAATCATTTCAAGTAACCAACCTGGTAAAAAAGCATGGACCATTTACATTGCCGCGTCATATCACGCAGGCATGATTACACCAACAATTTAGTGAGAACCACCAAGTATTCTGAGCTTGGCCAAAATAAAAACCCGTCCAGAGGCTTTGAAAGTATTAGGCTGAGGGAGCTCATGTTGTTAGCAGTTTCAGCTTCTTACCCTCTATGTACAGCTTCAGAAACATATGGTCTACCATTTACACCACATAATTTAAATGTCTTTTGCTTTAGCATGTATTCTTCTTAGCTCCTCATTTCAAATTTAAAATCCAGATTTTCCTATCTAACTATCACATTTCATTGATCACTTTTTAGGCAGATGGACTTCTACATTGTAGAAAAGTCATACAGACCAGTGAAAACAGACTATTATTCTTCTTATTTAAAATGAATAGAACCAAGTTTCTTCACTATTCTTGCTTTTTGTTCTCCGGCTACTAGAACAATTAAGCATACATCAATAAACAACTCTTCTCCAAAAAATTGAACAAATAAAACGGGAGTGGGGTGCGGTGATAATATGTAATAGAATTCACACAACACAGAATGTTATAGCTGCATTCAGCTACACCATAACAGAAACTACTACTGTGCCTCAGCCCCAAACGTTGGTCAGCTATATGAATCCTCACAATTCGTTCCGCTCCATTGGATTCTTTCAAAGGGTTTCTACATTTTCTTTTAACATACAAATCTCTAAACAATAACTAAACACAAAGTAAGTGTACCGACATTAGTAATTCAGCTGCATTATATCCAAAATACTAAAAAATATAAAATATTTACTAACCACGAGCACCAAAAGCAATAATCTCTTCCCACTTCTTGCGCATTCCTCCAAAATCATCAGACACCGGCACAGCTACATCCAGTTTAAACTTAGTACCTTCCAAACTCAACTCAATTCCATCCAACTTTTCCACAAACCCTCTCCTCCATTCCAGAAACTTCTTATCAGCTCTCTCCACATCATCCTCAGTTTCACCAATCACCTTCAACAGAAACCCTAAGTCATGAACAAAAAGGCGGCCACGAGCCACCGGTTCCTCGCGCTTCCGCTTGTTGAGGTCTTTGAATCTCCGGATTTCGAGGTCTTCTTCAGGAACAGTGATGGAGAATGAGGATTTTATGTAATCGATCAGTGATCGCTTGAACTTCCATTCGTCGATCGGAGAAACAGACTTGTCGGCGCGGTAGATTGTTAAGAGAAGCTTAATGCGGGGGACTAGAGAGAGTCCGCTTTCCAATTCTAGGGTTTCGGTTGGCCGGAGAGTGTTCAACGGTTTATTGCTCATTGTCTCCGGTCAGCTTTCGGTCAGCTCAGCTGAGACTTGAGATATTTTGAGTTGGACTTGCGGCTTTGCCTTTTGTACTTTTAATGAAAGTCATAAATTGATATTTGATACGACGACGTTATGGGCGGTGCAGAGCCAAAATTTAAATAAGCTCAAATTTTATAAAAGAAAAAGATAACGAATGAAGGTGTTTACAAAAATCTTTTAAGGATCAAATATTATGTTCAAGTGCAATATTTAAAATGAATGAAATAGACAATTAAGCATTTGCTAATGTTTAAATTGTTTTCCAATGCAATAAAGATGTTCTGTTCTCTATTTCTATTTCTATTTCTATTTCTATGTGTTGTCTTTCTTTTGTTTATCTTGTAAAGGTTGATATTTGACCAAACGAGAATCTGCGTGAAGAGGAACGGCAAAAAGTTACTTGGGCCAAAGTCGTATTCATATAATGCTATAGCGACAATCACCTCGGCCACGACTGAGGTCGTCTACTCAGAATACTTGTACGGCAAATTGAATGTTACGGCATTTCAGAGAATCAACCGGTGATAAGTTAAATGACTTAGGTACCCTGGCTTATGGTCGTTGGGTAAATGAGAATATCTAGTATATATACTAGGTGAGAGAATGAAGAAAGGGGGATTCACAAATCACACTTCTTCACTAACAGGGGATGGGAATTGGAGAATCCATCTCGTAAATGAGAGAAGGTTCGAAACCTTGCTATTCATTTTTTGTAGCCATCGTTATGGAATAAACAAAGACACACCCCGTGGTCATTAATGGTGAATCCTTTCTTTCTTCTTTATTTTATATTGTGGAGTACCGATGTCGAGAATGAATGTAAGCTCATCATACACATTGGATTTTTTCCATTATCTTAATGAGTTTATCAGCTTAACCTTACCCAACTTTTCTTACTTAGCATTCATTGATCTAGAGTTTATTATATTTGGCTAGGATTTATCCTCTATCTTCTCATTTAATTAGTTTAGTAAAAGGTCTCACACTTTTTGGTCAAATAATTTGGCACCGTCTGTGGGAATTTTCTAGCCAAAACCTTAGTTCCCTCTATCCAAACATGGTCTTAGCTCTATCTCTCATTCGGTGAAGTTTCACCCTTTCATTACGAATATCAACTTGTGAAATCGGTCAGTAAACCCCTGAAACCGCCAAACCAACCAAGGATAAATCCTTACGCAAAACCAGAGTTATGCCTGGTTTACACACGAAAATTGCGATGTGCCACAGCATCAGCCCTGATGCATTGTGAACATGAACCATCATAGTGGGACTACGACTATGCATACCAAACGCGTCCGTAATCCCATTTCTAGGTTAGTACCCAACACCTCCTACATACTGCGCATATTGCCTTCCCTCCTACTATATGAAACGATGTTTGTTGTGTAATTTACTGACTAAAATAATCCTCTTCTGTATGTTTGTGGTATGACTTACATTTCTGCTATATTTGTGCGCCCGAGACTGAGATGAACTGGGACTTGAACTCGAGACCCTAATGGGGGTGGATCGTCCACCCACGAGATGCCAAGGCTCAACTAGTGACGAGGCTGATAAGCCGACATCAGGCCTGAAACTAGTACCAGAATACAGAACAAGGCGAGCCGCCCTGCGGCGCGATCCCTTGTTCATTGCCAAACGAGGGAACTTCCCTGGTCCAAAGAGCGCAGCCGTCGAGGGAAACATGGCCAATCCCCCTCATTCATTAGCTAAACAGCCGACCAAGGTAGCAAATAATTCCATGAACTTCTAACCCGTTATTCCTTCTTTAAAAAAAATAGAGAAGTAAAACCTGAGAACAGGGACGTCCTCCCAAATACGCGAACGAAGGCTAGCCGACATACAGGCTCTAAGTTCCTCCATAAGGCAAACGGAAAATCGGGAAAATCCCCCACACCGTACCATACTACGAATAACATACAAACGGCTCAGAACAAGCCGGCATCATTAAGAAACAATCTCCATAGCCTGGGACTAGGCGGTGAGCCCATGGAACGTATAGTCTCCCCAACACAGGCAGAACATGAACACGAAAAGCTTGCATGTATGCTCGCCATGGCGATCCTATGCCAATTCAGCCGACTAAATACTACGAATCACGTCCGAACTTCGTTCAAATTTATCGAGTCCCAAGGTGCCCAAAAACCCAAGCAATAAGTTTATCGTTCGTCCCGTCAACGGTCTCTCCAGGCCGAGCAAGGAAGGGACTAGATAGACTGGGACTCACCCCGACGCATACATAAACTATGCAACAACGCATGATATTCTCCAATGAAAGCAAGATTAGATAAACTGTGCCTGGCCCCGATGCATGCATAAACAATGCAGCAACGAGTAATTGTCACGACCCGAATTTCCTACCATCGGGACCGTGATGGCGACTAATATTGTACTCACTGGGCAAGCCAACGATTACAAAATATCTCACATTTTCCTTTATTTTTTAATAATTTAAAACTTAACAAAAGTAAATCAACAGAAATAAATGCGGAAGAACTCAGATTAAAAGTTTATATTTATGCTAATAACGAAAACCAAAATAAATTCCACCCAGGAATTGGTGTCACAACTCACGAATAGTCTACGAATACTACAAGTATTGGTTTGAAAAAAAAATATACATTTGTCTCGGAGAAAAGTAAAACAGAATGCAGTAAATATAGAAGGGGACGTCAGGGCCTGTGGACGCCTGCAGGACTACCTTGGGTCTCCTAAATGCATTGATAGCAACCAACCTCTCGATTAACCACTAGCTCCGAAATCTGCACAGAAAGTGCAGAGTGCAGTATCAGTACAATCGACCACATGAACTGGTAAGTTCCGAGCCTAACCTCGACGAAGTAGTGACGAGGCTATGGCGAGGCATACAACATATACAACGTACAACAGTTTATACTAAACAGAAAGGAAGTACATAATGAAATATAACAGTAACCTCCATTACATAAATACGGAACCCAGTTGTTCTGCTAGTATTCAGCTATAACCAATCCTTAAGGGTGTTGCAACATCACAGTAATGAACCTCAACAAAAGTGAATACATAACAACAATTGATGCGGCGTGCATCCCGATCCCAACATATTAACAACAACAATATCAACATGCACCCTTATTACTCCTTGTAGCGGCGTGCAACCCGATTCCACCAGTTCACCCTTATTGCTCCACAATATATCTCCCTTATTCCTCCTGTTGTGGCGCGCAACTTGATCCTACCTGTCCACCCTTATTACTCCTTGTTGCAGCGTGCAACCCAATCTCAGCAGGCAATCACATTCACCCTTATTCCTCTTGTTGCGACGTGCAACCGATCCTAATATATATAACAACACCAATCACAAGATGAAGACAAGTGTTTCAAAATTCACTCAAATCCTCCACAACACCTACTCCTCAAACCAACACAATGGAATATCACTATAACTGTAAAAACTTCACCAGTTAAACTATACATCGAGACCAACCTAAGTGTACCATGAAGCACCAATAACCAACATAATCCAACGGGGTAATAAAATGAAGCTACGAAACAAATAATACTTCAATAGAAAAATCAACAATTAACATGAAACAATTAGGCAAGAAAGCATTGATAAGCAAGTAGCAATTAAGGTAAGAAAATAATATATAGGGGAACGGGGAAAGGAAAACAGGCTAAACAAGTAATTTGGCGGTGCATTGGTGCTCGTCACTACACCTATACGCTACACACATGGTATTTCACATAGCAAACAAGTCGGGGATCATTAATCCCTCAAGTCAAGGTTAGATCAAACACTTACCTCGCTAACAGAAAGTTCCCAAACCTTGTGATATTTAAAAGTCCAAGCAAATGGCCTCCCTTAATCTATGCAAAATATTAATTAGCAATATCAAATATGGTAGGCAGGATCTGTAGCAACCCCTTTGGGAGGGTACTACTTAGGAAACAAATCTAATTTCCTACTTACAAAATATTAAAAGAGATATTAATAAAAATATTCAGAATAATTTTAGAAGCGGAAGTAGGCCCATGCGAAAAGGTTCAAAGTACAATATATTTTTTTTTTTGAAAATACACCATAATTTTATTTTAAATGAAATACAATGTCAAAATATTAACATATGGTGATATAACCCTTCTTGATTAATCAACGGATTAAAGCAACTTCCTAACAGATTTATACAATCGTTCAAAGTCATTACAAGTTTGTATTGTATAAAAATTTCAAACTATCGNTCAATAACAATGTTCAAGAGTCTAGAAAGTGTATACTATCAATTTAAGAGAGTATACAAAATATCCATTTTTCGCCCAATATGTACGTCATGCCATCACACTAACATAATCAGATATCAATATGGACCGAAGCCCCAAATCAAGTAGGGCCAAAACCCAATAGACAAGAGAATCATGAACCATATTAAAAATGGCTTCCTAGTTCGTACTTAACACGGACAAGTTCCATAATTCAAGACGAACTACAAATCCAAAGTCAAGATGGCAAAAGATCCGAATCAAGACGCATGCCAAAATGAGTGACAAAATCACTTCCACAAGAAGGACAAAGTCCCAACAAGAATGCAAAATGATCAAACAATCCGTACGAATGAGCGATTTAGCAAATATCTTACAATACTTGATATAGTACTAATATAACAATATAAATTGAAGCCAAGAAAAATAAATATCAAGTTATTTCAACATATTCCAGCAAGCAAAAAGAGTACAAGTTTATACACAAACCTTGGTGTTTTACCACGAAACAGTTCAATCACAACTTGGGGACGTTCGAATCGTCTACGCCGTAAACAAACCAAATCTGTCCACTTCCTCAAACACTTCCCCTTTGATTTTTTTCAAGGGTACGTAAATACATAATCAAGTATCTAAATAAGTTCAGTGATTTAGCAAGTCAAACTAAATATGATATTGGTGAAAATTACCCAAAAATGTTTGAAACAGAAATTCTGGACAGTATCACTATTCCGAGTTGTGACTCAGTTTTGAAGATCTACACGAACAAACTAGACTTTCTGGTCTTCACAAAAGTTGTAGATATATGGCTTACCGTTTCAGAACAT